GAGGGCTAGATTAATTCAAGAAATGGGCATCGAAATTTGCAATTTATTAAATGTGATCATTATAAAGTACAAATGAAGAGTAAGTACATGTTGTAACGTACAGATAAATATTTGACGTGTCTATTACAATAAATTGAAGAGCTATGCTATGTGTACATAGATATACAAATAGGGGTTCGCATTTTTTCTTCTTTTTCAACCACACATTTTTCATCATATCACAATTTAATATCAATTCTTCCCCAAAAAATCCCTACCAAACAAGCTATTAAATATGTAGCTTATACAAAAGAATTTTTATTGTACCAATCAATTGACTATTCACAGCACTTTTTTAGACTCACACCCAAATATTCAACGAGTTTTTAATAATAATTCTTCTTGTAAAAATCCTAAGGCTAAAAGCTCTAATATCAACATTTATTTCAAATGGAATCTTGAGCTACTAGTAATACCCAAACGACGGCTTATGAAGTGGATTACTCCGTAATTCAAAAACGCTTTTAACAAATGCGATTGAATTTTAACATTTTCTCGTTTTATTTGGTTAATTTGTATTATTATTTATTTATTTTGCTTGAATTTTAACATTTGCCTGTTTTATTTTGTTGATTTATACTTAATTATTAATTATTATTGTTTTTTTCTTGTTAATTGCATTTTTTTTTTGTTTTATTGTCAACAAACGATAATAAGACCCTGTTTGAGTCAAATTATTATAGAATGAGAAAAAAATATAGCCGTTATTGGGGCACACATAAGAGAAATAAAATTTGAATTTAAATGTTGATGTGATGGATAACAGTTATATTTTTCATTTTAATGAGATAATAAAGTAGATCAAACGGGGGCTAATTTTATGTGTCAATGTATTCATATGTCATGTCAATAAGTCCATCAAATTTTTTAAAAGTTGAGTTATTGAGTGATGGATAAGATAACGATTTGATAAGTTTGACGATCATCCGAAAAACTTTTAAAATATAATAGCAAAAGGGATAATGATTTGATGAGTTCGGTGATCATATGAAAAACTTTTAAAATTTAATAGCCAATGGGATAATACTTTGAAAGTTCTTGACCACCCAAAATTTTTTAAAGTTCAATTATCAATAGAAAATATTATGCAAAATTTAATGGTCATTTAGATTTTTAATCCTTCATACGACAATGGTTTCTCTCTCAAATGTGTAAAGAAATCAATAATGATGAATGACATGAATAAAGCATTGTGTGGTTCAATTGGAATTCTATCCACTTGATTCAACTCGAATGGATATTACGTGCTATAGGTTGATTTGGTTCTTATGGTAATGCTACTCATACCAATGATTTCATTATAGCATGACATTTCGGACAAGTAAACTTAACAACCATCTTGATTTTAATATTTATTGTTATTCCTAGCTTGAGAAATGTTCTTTCTAATGATAGTAAAGTATTCATTACTGCGA